TGAACTCACCTTTAAGGTCACCAGCCTTCTATTTGAACTCACCTTTAAGGTCACTATTCTTCTATTTGAACTCACCTTTAAGGTCACTATTCTTCTATTTGAACTCACCTTTAAGGTCACCATTCTTCTATTTGAACTCACCTTTTAGGCCACAATTCTTCTATTTGAACTCACCTTTAAGGCCACAATTCTTCTATTTGAACTCACCTTTTAGGCCACAATTCTTCTATTTGAACTCACCTTTAAGGTCACCATTATTTTATTTGAACTCACCTTTAAGGCCACAATTCTTCTATTTGAACTCACCTTTAAGTCCTCCAATCTTCTCGTTGATCTCACCTTTATACCTTTGGAGCCTACATTTACAAGAATATACGGGTGCATTTTTTTGTGTGTGGGTAGCAGAAGAATCTAGCAGGGCAGATGTCACTAATTGTATCTTCTTCCTCCAACGGAGGTTTGCAGGGGTCCCCTAATTCTAAAGATAATTGAGTTGATCTCATTTGTCTGAATCGATTGTTGGTAGTTGAAAGAATATTTTTTTGGCAGATTATTGTTTGGAGTAGTTTAATTGAGAAGATAAAATGGTAATCTATCGTTTTAGGTACGTAAAATCGCCCCCCAACCCCACAAGTTTGGTGTGGTTCACGCCGAATGTTTACAATCGTATATTGCCGGGTCGAATTGGTGACGGCTATTAGGGGCAGATAAGTTAGCTTTTAAACGATTTGAAACTAAGAAGAGGTAACAAGTTGTGCTTGATGTCTTAATTGTCGCCTGTAAACTATCGTCACGGACGGCTGCTTTCAAGGGGGAAGGGGGGGGGGGGGTGACGATAATCGTCCTTTACGAGCTACTGATAGTGTTTCAAAGCAAACTATTTTCATTCGCAGCATTGGTTGTATTGAATTCACAAATTATATGAATTACTGAAAAGTAGGAAATAAAACAACAAAAATAGAAATAGCGGCGTGTGTGTAGGCTCGTCTTCTATATTTTAAAAAATTTCGCCTTAAAATAGTTTTTTTACACTAAACAAAACTAAATCAACTAACTGCTGCCTTATAATTTGTTCTTGGTTGGACGAAGACTATGGAAGTAAATCCAAAAAGAAAAGCACTCTGAAAAACGGCCTGTATAAGATGACCAGTGGCGTGGCTACCGTAAAGCTAGCGTAAGCAAGGCATAGGGGCCCAAGGCAAATAGGGGCCCTTTTTCGAAAGTTTGAGGGGGGGGGTGCAAATCGAAAATTTGTCCCCGGTCGCCGGGAAGGGTCGCTACGCCTCTGAGGGGCCTACTAACACTTTTTGCATAGGGGCCCAAAAATCCTAGCTACGCCACTGAAGATGACACGTTTACTTAATTGTGTTGGGGGGAATCTCTTCCTACACTAACATTAAGAACATAGAAGAAGAACTGTGTAGTTTAAAACAGATCACAACAGTTTATCTGTGTTTTGAAAATAAATAATAACAAAATGAAATTAACTCGCAGAAAAAGACACACGCAGTTGGGCTACGTTAATATACATCCTGCATCGTATTTCATCGGAATAAACAGATTTTAAAACTGTAATTATAAATTAGTTCCCCTTACGCAGAATAGTCCAGCATACGTCACAACATCCACAGTAATCACCCTTGGGAACGAATATCCCATAGCAAGTGTCCTTCGTCAATACAGTGCAAGGCGTCATCTTGCAAATGTCTGATGCACAATCTTCGTATTGACTGGCAAAGAACGGGGCCAGTAAAGTTACAAGAACACACAAAAACGCCTTGTTCATGCTTAAGATAAACCAATGTTGAAATAATTTAAGATACGTTTTTAGTATTTTTTTTTAAAGATTTATTATAGTTCAACTAACAAAATTGAAAAAAAAACTTCCTTAACAGTGCATGTTAGAACCCGTCATCATCTGTTGTGTTACTATAATAAATTTAAAAAATACATAAACAAGTGAAAAAAAACATCATATTGTTCTTCTTTCATTTGGTTACAAACAGTGCTTCTTTCGGGTCCCCGTAAAATTTAGTCCACCCCAACCCAAAGTTTCAAGTGCCCCCATCCCCACCCTGTAGAAAAATGTCTGAAAGAAGCACTGGTTAAATCCACAATTACAGAATTAAATAATTAAAAACATAACTTCTGTTGTATATTACCCTATTGTAATCACCCATAACGCAGCTCAAGTATGAACTGCAACAGTGGCGTAGGCAGGGGGGTAATAGGGGGGGTCATAATATAACCCCCCATAGACCCCTCGGTATATATATAAAGTATGAAGGGGAGGGGTGTAAATCGAATGTTTGAGGGGGGGGGTGCAAATCAAAAGTTTGAGGAGGGGGTGCAAATCAAAAGTTTGAGGGAGGGGGGTGCAAATCGAAAGTTTGTCCCCGGGTAAAAATTTGAAACCCCCCCCCCCCCCATGAGACGATCCTGGCTACGCTACTGAATTGCAAAAACCTTTTTATCGTAATTACAAACAAACAGTAATCGTAACTATATTAAAATGCATTTCCATGTATTTTTGTGTCTGGTATTTTGATTTAAAGACCTTAAGACTTACTTGTTTGAAAGAGTATAACACAGCGTCTAAAATGGCACAAAACATTTCTGCTACTGAAGTTCCTCTTGACGTAATGTTAAATGCAGCAAAATATTAGCTTAGCGATAGCCTTTTAGCAAAAACTATCAGGGGCGTAGACTTATTTTCATAGAGCATTACTACTAGAGATTTCATTAAGCATGCTAAATATAAATTGAATACAGCAGTGGCGTAGCGAGGTCGGGTGTCACCCTGTGCGGCACTTAATGGTGTCACCCCCCCCCCAGAGGCCTAGCGACCCTTACCGGGGACAAACTTTCAAATTTTCGATTTGCAGCCCCCCCCCCCCCCCAAACTTTCGATTTGTACTCCCCCCCCCCTCAAGTTTTTCTCTATATATTTTGCTATTTTTTGCCTTGGTTTCACACCCCTAAATAGTGTCACCCGGTGCGGTCCGCACCCCCGCCCCCCTCGCTACGCCTCTGGAATACAGGACAATCGTTTTGCATTCAAGCTAATAAAAAGTCAATATTTACTTGTCTTACTATTTATATCAACGTTTTCCCTTGTGGAAGAACTCGTGTATTTTAGAACAACATATATCCCTGTTATTTATAACAGGAGACTGTGTACTAGGCGAGGGTGGGATGGGATGAGGGGGCTCAAATGAATCTAACTTGAATATTTGCTAACTGAATGTCTGAACAAAATAAATGTCCTGATGTAATTAAAATGTACTTGCTATTGTCATTTAACCAACCACATATTTTTCAACTCTAATTAAAACTGTGCCACTTGCCTAATTCGTTCACGTCTCATTTAAATGGAACTTTAACACAGGTACTTGTATATCTGGATTTACAATGTACGGTAAAACAATTATTCCATGTCCATGTGATCCGACTTTGCGGATAAGCTTCTACCAAATTAAAGAATAATTAGGGGGTCGGCGTGGTCGAGTTCGAACCCTCGGGCAGATGAGGCTCGTTAGCTGGGAACAGCCACTCTTCTAGGAGAGACAACTCCAAAATTAAACAACTGCTGCCTTGTACTTTGTTCTTGGTTGGACAAAGGCTATAGAAGCAAATCCAAAAAGAAAAGCAGGCTGAAATCGGAGTCAATGGCCTCAATGGCGCATAACCAGTTGACACGTAACGCTTAATTGTGATGGAGGCGTGGTCGAGTCGGCAAAAAGCTCATGATTGATAAATTCGAACAAAGTCTCGAGTTCAAAGACACTGGCAGATAAATCACGATCCCCTTTAACACTAATAATTAAGAACGAAGAAGAAGAAGAAGAAAGCATAATTGCATTTGCAATTTATTTGACAGCACAATTATTAACCACCTGTCGAGTAAAATACATTTACAGAAACGGCATTTGTATTTACATGTGAATATATGACTTCGTGTCTGCATGCATATGAACGCTATTGTGGCATAGAGGTCAAAAGAGTATTTTAATCAATTCCTATTACAATATATTAAAATAACGGCTGAATCTCGTTTTCTAACATTTCATTTTTATGATGCAAAGTGTGACGTCATACCATCTGAACACCCCCCACCCACCCACCCTCCCAGTATTCACACAAAATTTCAAAATTAGGGACCACCCTTTCCCCTTTGAGTGTGACGTCGTTTATGGACGACCATATATCAGGTATTAGAGTCAGCAATTAAACTGTAACAAAAGCCTATATATAGTCTCTACTATGGTTGATTCAACTATACTGGGATGTGATCAATTACTGGTACCATTAACATGTTGAACAGACACACGAACATTCCATCGCAGAGGCGTAGCGACCCTTCCCGGCGCCCGGGAACAAGCTTTTCGATTTGCACCCCCCCCCCTCAAGATTTCGATTTGCACCCCGCCTCAAACTTTCGATTTGCACCCCGCCTCAAACTTTCAATTTGCACCCCCCCCCTCAAGATCTTGATTTGCACCCCGCCTCAAACGTTCGATTTGCACCCCCCACCTCAAGATTTTAATTTGCGCCCCCCCCCCCCTCAAACTTTCAATTTGCACCCCCCTCATTCAACTATACTGGGATGTGATCAATTACTGGTACCATTAACATGTTGGACAGACACACGAACATTCCATCGCAGAGGCGTAGCGACCCTTCCCGGCGCCCGGGGACAAGCTTTTCGATTTGCACCCCCCCCCCTCAAGATTTCGATTTGCACCCCGCCACAAACTTTCGATTTGCAACCCCCCCACCTCAAGATTTCGATTTGCACCCGCCCTCAAGATTTTAATTTGCGCCCCCCCCCCCTCAAACTTTCAATTTGCACCCCCCTCAACCTTTCAATTTATTTTTCAAACCCATTTTGGCGCCCCCTAAGGTCGGTGCCCGGGGACATATGTCCCCCCCCGCCCCCCCCCCCTCGCTACGCTACTGTTCCATCAACCCCCCCCCCCCCCCCCCAAACCCCATAAAATGAAATGCACTTAACATAGTTTAATACAATTTCATTACGACCTCTAGATTAGTTTGAACTATCATGTAAACGCAACAAGAGATACGATAAAGTTGATCAGTTTATTTTGGGATCTTTCAAGTGTTTGTGTGTGTTTGTGTGTGTGTGTGTGTGTGTGTGTGAGTGTGTGTGTGTGAGTGTGTGTGTGTGTGAGTGTGTGTGTGTGTGTCTGTGTGTGTGTGTGTGGGTGGGTGGGGTGTGTGTGTGTGTGTGTGTGTTTGTGTGTGTGTGTGCGTGTGTGTGTGTGTGTGTGTGTGTGTGTGTGTGTGTGTGTGTGTGTGTGTGCGCGCGCTTGAACCACTACTCTCGCAGAATAAACCACAGCCAATGTTCTTTAATCCCGAGTGTGTCACTGTGCTGAAATAAGTGAGATTTTATTTAAATATAAACCAGTTGCATCTATTAAACAGGCATACATTTCACGTCTCTTATAAATAAAGTATTTAACCAAATTAGACAGTTAAGGTTACTGACATGTAATATAGTATTTTAACCGTAAAATTTGTCCGCAATAGCCCACTATTTAGCGAGCTTTGATTTTTGTTTTTTTACATTTTATGGTCAGGCTATTTTGATTATGTCTATCAAACTGTTTACTTTTATGCCGCCGAACTGTTTCTAATGGAACTCAATTTGAAGCCAACCAATTGTTTTTTATTGGCACTCACTTCAACTAGACTGGCATGCAGGTTGTTGTGATTCTATTGCAGGTGTAGTTGTCGGGACATGTTGCTATACGTGGTAATCCTCGCTGCAGCATAATGAAGCAGGATTCTCCAGGTTCTAAGGAGAATTGTGTTTTATCGTTCAAAATTTGTTTCATGTGTCTGAGTCAAGTTATATTGGCATAGATAATAACATGATGTTTAATTGATACAATAGACTTCTATCATTTGAATAGATTAGAACAATTTAGCTTATAGAATAAAATACTTAAGAACAGTCAACATTTGCGATAACAAGAAAAGCACAATTATCTGCCAAGCGTCTTCTTACTCAAAAACAAAAGAAATAAACTGGGAATAATATCCCCTAAACTTTCTCGAATATTCTTATATGAAACAACAGTGAAGGGCAACTCCGGATATAGACATTACTTTTAATCAATTTTAAATACTTAAACTTTTAAAAATAGAATACAATCTCGTTGAAAAAAGAATTGCACACCAAGTGAACGTCATATAAAATGTGCAAAAATAGTGCGGAATATTATTAGAACTTTATTAATTCACATGCCTTTTTTGAGAAATCGGAAATAGCAAAAATTATTACTTCCGGTCAACGGAAATTAGTCAAAATTCGAAAGAAAGCAGAAGATAAGATCTTTTACTTACATGTAAAATTTCATTTATCCATCTGAAATAGTACTCAAGTTATAGGCTTTTGAAAAATTCAAAGTAGAAAAAGTTCCACTTTCGGTTATCGGAAATCGCTCAAAAGTTGATACGGATACAGATTCTGATATAATACTTATATATGAAATTTCAGTCCAGTTTTTACGACTCGATAACGCATAAAACGCCAAAATGTTTATATATTTGTATTTATAATTTTTGCCTGATTGAAATACGTCCTCTATACTCCGGATGTGATGAAGGACTGAGGATTAAAATGGTGAAAACTGTCAAAATTTCATGTTATTTTTGTGCACTATTACAAGACTTTCTCTATACTTCGTATATACGAGAAAGTAAAAATAACTTGGACTACTTTGCAATGTATTGTGAAATACACTAAAATCAGAAATAACAAAAGCTCAATTACGATTGACCAGTTGTACTCGTTCACCCGAGTCTTGTAACAAAACAAAGAAGTTACGGAAATGCTAATCATAGAATATAGCTACTTGAACGATTTTCACAGTTCAAGTCTAAACAGATCTAGAATGTACATAATGCAATGTATTGTTAGTTATTGTTACCAGTTTGATAATTTAATCATTTTAATTATATGAACATTTTGTTAGGCTGATTTGAGAATTTGATTTTAGTTTAGGTACACAAATCTGACTACGTATGCCTTCATTGAACTTATCTCTACCATCATGAATAAAGTAAGAGACTTAGATAAATATTGTGATTTTAGTCGAGATTTGAAATACATTGATGATTTATAAAGCGCAATTATTTTTTTTAATAAATACAAAATGTTTGCGTAATTTTTTAAAAAAATTATCGAAAACATTAATTGAAAATAAATGAAAAAAAAAAACATTCACAATAAATTATTCAGTGAATCGACTTTTTAAAAGGCGATCAATTCCCCTTACTCAGTATAGTCAGACAAAGGTCACAGCATCCACAGTAGCCGCCCTTGGCTATAAATTTCCCTTTGCAAGTCTCAGGTGTCGTTACGGGACAGTTTGTATGCTTGCAGATGTCAGGTGTGCAAACAATGGAGTGACTGGCATCGAGCAGGGCAAGGAGTGCTACAAGAACGGGCAGAAACATCTTGGTCATTTCTAAAAAAAATTAAAAACAATTTACATTATAATTTTCAAATCAGGTTTAATCAAACTTTAATATCGTTCTAATTTTAATATATGTACTGCGTTAACAGTACAAAGCTTAATGAACACTAAGCTATTATTGAAAAAAAAATAATAACAATTCAACGAACATCATTTGATTTAATTAACATTAAGCTTAACAGTGACCTGTTTTGTTATTTTGAAAAAACAACAAATTCATGAAAAACTTACAAAATTAACAATCTATTCTTATTATTCCGTCATGTTTGTTACAAATTCACTAGCAAGTACTTAGAAATGTAAACTTCAGAGGTATTTTAGCTTGGCCAATGCAATTGCAATCATACTTAATTAACTTTGCTCGAATATCTACAGCTACAATCAGTGGCGTAGCGAGGTCGGGTGTCACCCGGTGCGACACTTAATGGTGTCACCCCTAGAGGCGTAGCGACCCTTCCTTGGGACAAACTTTCAAATTTTCGAATTGCACCCCCCCCCTCGAACTTTCGATTTGCACCCCCTCCCCTCAAACTTCTGATTTGCAACCCCCTCAAACTTTCGATTTGCACACCCCTCAAGTATTTCTCTATATATTTTGCTATTTTTTGCCTTGGTGTCACCCCCCCCCCCCTAAATGGTGTCACCCGGTGCGGTCCGCACCCCCCGCCCCCCCCCTCGCTACGCCTCTGGCTACAATCCTATAATAATAGCAAAGCCTAGATAATAAATAGTTAAAATATGGAATAAAAACCCAGTTTGATGAATCCTATATTGACTTACCTTGTTAAATAATTTACTCCTAATTTCTAAAATAACACAACACGTTGAGCGCCCCCTGAGAAATGGTTATGTGGAGTTAATGATTCCCTGAGTTCTGTCCCCTTAGGAAAAAACATTCAAATTTCAAAGGCGTTAACCCAGCAAATAAAGAGCATTGCGTGTGTTTAATTTAGTTCAATCAGTATATAACACAAATATAGCTGGGTAAGGGTCGCATTGTTTCTTCCAGAATTTTTTTTAAGTGGGGGAGGGGACTAAAATTTCCGGGTGGCCGGACACTGGTAAAATAATTTTTCTTTATAAATTGTAATTCGTTCGAAGGGGGGGGGGGGGCGGTAGACGTTTTTCTGGGCTATCTCTCCCCCCCCCCTTCTAAAGCAGATGCCTGAAAGAAACTCTGAAGGGTCATCCATTTAACAAGTGCAGAGGTGGGAAAGGATCGGTCTTTTGTAACGATGCACTTATCTCTCGTTAGTGCCCTCAAGTATTTTACCACAGTTAATTATTATGTTGTTTATACTAGGATATTTCTTCAGATAATCGGCTTCCATAATATACGTAAAACCTCTCACTTAAGTATTTTTTAGCGCAATTTCCATACTGGGATTGCGATTATTAACTCGTCATTTCTGGATGGATGTGTGTCCGCAGCCTTTAAGTCGTATCTCCTCCTCAACGAAGCAATATCGAGGACTAGTTCCAAAGCAAATATGTTAAGCAAGTTCCGAGGATGAACATAGGCCAAAAAAATTCCCGGAATTCCTTCCTGGATTTCCCGGAAAAGCCAAAAAACCTCGAACAAATGCAGTTTTTTGCCCATATCTCGGCAACCAGACCACTTAGCGACTTGAAACATTTACCAATCGTTTCCTGCCATAATTTATAACAATATTGCCGAAGAAAGTTTTCAAAAATATCCTTTCGTTCGGTCACAAAAAAAAAAAATTTAATTATTTAAACTGAGCATCGTTTAGGCCTAGGATGATATTTTAAACTGAGCATCGTGTAGGCCTACTCGTTCAAATAAAACTATTTCCGTTGATATTTTCTATTACCCCCTACACATCCGTATATTTTTTTAAATCTCGTTAATAACATAAGGAAATTGCGCTTAAATTGTCACTAGACTTTTTATTAACTTGTTTTTGTTAAGAGGTTTCGATGTTTCTAATTCCAGAGTTGAATTTTAGTATTTTCAATTTTTTTTTTAAATATTTATTTAAAAAACGTGTACGTTTACTTATTGCAGTTTGGGTCACGTGAAGAGATGGCAGGGCACACCTAATCTCACTTTCATATTGAATGACTTGTTTTCTAAGCAAAGAGCATCAGACTTAAGATTGCTTCACGTACTTACATTGTAAAAATCTAATGTGATATTTTCAGAACTTCTTAAACATCTCACTAAACTACGCACATATTTAGCAGCTCAATGTAACAGAAGGTATATGACAAGGTCTTGCGTTATTCTTTGCAGGCGTTTAAATACTTGCATTCGTTGTCTTTCAATAACGGTAAATTTATCAGGTACGGTATCTATTGTTTGCTGTTGTTGTAACATGACTGGGATCCGACTTTGCACAATTTAAAGAATGTTAATTGGCTTAATTAATCAGTTATGATTATTCAGCTGTGCTTTACTCAAGACTAATTGCGTTTGCAATTAATTTATAATTAATTGTGTAATTTATAATATAGAACAACTATCGACCACCTCCATTATAATACAAGCTACTTACTGTATAAACCTGCTTCAATTGTGACGTATATATATAATAAAATATATATATATATATATATATATATATATATATATATATATATATATATATATATATATATATATATATATATATATATATGGTGTGTGTTGTTCCTGTTTTTCTGTGTGTAGCCAATGAATAGTGAAAGTACAGGAGGTAGTAAATTTAAGTCACAATAGACTGAAACAGCACTTGTTGAAAAAAACTAGAAGTTGGTCCATAGGCGTAGCGACCTATTCAGGCATCCGGGGCTAACTTTCAACTTTCAACTTTCAACTTTCCCCACTCCCTCACTCCCATTATTATATATTTATTCAAGCTGGTGAAAAAAAAAATCGCCGCCCACCCCTCTCAGTGAGTAAAGCCATGTAGCCTTTTACTTTCTTAACTTTGACTGTGTATAATTCAATACCCAAAATTTAAATGAGCTTTATTTTTTTTCTACTTTTTTTGCCGCCCCACCCGCCCTCCCCTAGCTACGCCTCTGCATTGCTCCTGGCGAAACTTGCCCTATGGCGTGGCCCCGGAGGACACAGAGTTCTTCCTACAGGACTGCTGCTGGTTCATTAAGGCGCGGTCTTAACTCTGGCCTTTATAGGCTACACCCCACACAGGGATAAACTGCCTGGGATGCCCGCAGATCTGGAGACCACAGTCCAGTTCATCCACTAAGTGCTAACTACTTGTTGTCAAAAATCCTCCGACATAACTATAATTTACAACGAAGAAGAAGAAATAGAACCAGCTGATTAAGACAAAACTCAGCCTAATATCACACTATTATGGAAACCCAATCCTAATTGGGATACGGTTATTTTGTCACGTTAAATGGTTGTCTGACATCATAAGCTGAGCACATAGACGAACATGCTGCGCTTCAATTAGAACTTCACTATCACCGCAAGTCAATCATGTCAGAGACGTAGCGACCCATATGGCGACATGGACGTACTATTTATTTCGCACCCCCATCCATTCATATAATTATTTACATTTAACAAAAAAGTGCCCCCCCCCCCCCACACACACAGACACTAGTTTTTTACTAGTCACTGTCCCGTAACATTTTTTTTTAATTTCATTTTGGTGTCAAAACTAGTTCAATAAGTCTTGAAAGCCAAGTAGTAGGCTTTTTCCTAAATTTTGATTGTGTATAATTTAGTAATGCAACTCATAATAATGTTTAAACTTCTTTTCTATCTTGTTTGACGCCCTTTTAGGGTCGGTGCCAGGGGCCCCTCCGCCCACCCTTAACTACGCCTCTTACTCGTGTGTGACAAACATAATTATTCTGATACAAAGACGAACTATTGTTGTTTATGAACGAGAAAAGTTAACAATTACATAATTTGATAGTTGATAGTGCAGATAACTGAAAAAAATCAAAAACAACAACGATTTAAAAAGATGAGTTTATTTTTAAACCTCTGTGCTTCTGTTTAACGAGAACCAATTCTATATTTTCACAGGATAAATAACATCCAAAGTATTTTCAATTTGGAATGGCCACTTTGCTGAAAATAATTAAAAACCTCATTTAGATAGTAATCAACTACACTAATTAAAAAGGTCTATGTGACAAGTTTCTCATAAACATTATGAGCAACTAGTTCGGTCGATGCCTTGGGTGGTTTAGTTTTAGTGATTTTTTTAAGTAAGTAGAATACCCTTATAAATGTATTGTATTGTCATTGCAATTGGGTTTTTTAATGTTATGTTGTAAATACGTTATGATAGTAATCAACCCATGATGTGTTACGTGATATTTCGTAAGACAGCTAGGCATTTTATGATAGTAATCAACACATGATATATTGTGTGATACTGTCAGTACTATTTGTGAGACATAGATTATTGTATGCAAATGATAAACCATCAGGAGTTCAAAAAATTGCTGGAAAAAAAATCTGGTTGCTCTTTTCTGACCGCAACATACTATTGAAGTATTTCAACGACCTCGGTTAAAAAAAAAAAGAAAATAGTTTCTATGTTACCTCAACTCATATTGTATCCACGATGACTCACCTTTACGACACAAGTGTACAGGTATGTGTGGTTGGATGACAGATGTAGTTCTCGGGGCAGGTCACCTGACTTGGAACTCCCATCAACAACATAGCGAAGCAGGAATCTCCAGGATCTAAGAACAATCGTGGTATATTTTTTTTCATGTGTCTGAGTCAAGTGTTGGTTGTAGAAAATATGCTGCATAATATAAATGATTAGATAAATAATATAAATAAATTAGAAGTTAAATTAGAATGTTGAATTTTCTTACTAGAGACAGTGACACATAAACTAAAAGAGTCATTAGAAGTTAAATTAGAATGTAGAATGTTCTTACTCAAGACAGTGATACATGAGTCACAGCACCCGCAAAAACCGCCGTTTGAGACGATTTTACCGTTGCACGATTCTGCAGTCACCGGTGCACAGTCCACAAGTTGGCAGCAGTCAGGTGGGCAGACGATAGATTGGCTCACACCAAACACGGCCACAAACGTTAATAGGAGCGTGACGTACATGTTCTTGTCTCTAAGTCAGGAAACAGCATCAAATACACAAGTGTAAACTTATAAATAAAGGTAAAACTAATGTATCAGAAGGGAAGAAAGTATGTTTTTGTGAGGGTAAATCAATTACCACGATCGTTGGGCAGATGAAGTAGAGCACATCTGTTTTGTGGTCCCGGCATATGAAAAGATAGTATTGTCAGTACTATGTCGAGCAGCCTTTTTATATTCCTTAAACGTGAGTTTGGTACCCATTAGAGCTGGGTAGACTCAGGGACATTCTATTGACTCGAATCCGGATTCAAACTCTTATTAGCAGTCTAGCGCTCCACCGCTAGGCGACGCCTAAATTATTCAAAATCCAATTTAGAGTTACTTTCAGTAATCAAAAACTGCTTTTTTACCAGCAGAATCGCAAGATTGTACCAGGTGTAGTAACTCAGAGTGTCGTTCCTAGCCCCACCCCCACCTCCTTACAACCCGTAAAAGGGTAGGGTTTTAACAGTATAACTTATCTACTAAACAACCTAGCCCAAACATTGTTTTATTTATACTTCGGTTCTAGTAATAGCTAATTGAATACCCCGCACATTGAAACTAGTGACCGTAAACTACAACTGAGCTCATCTTGTCCTGAGTACCTCCTGTCTAGACATACCCCACATGGAACCGCCAAGATGGACAAAGTTCAGTACACATATAGAGCTGCTACAAAGAGTACCCAGTCCTGAGTCCCTCATGTCAAATTTTAGAACACTCAGAATATATGTTGCTAAGTCTTAACCCTTTCATACCTGTTGAGGACTGATGAAGTCGAGTGGGTATGATGTTGTTTGATGACCACCCTTTTATACCTGTTAGCCCATATGACTGATTGCGTCTAGTCCACATGATGTTGTATGATGACCATGGAGCACAAAGATATTATATTGTCTTCGTATTGTCCCAACCACATTTATTTTACGGTCAGAGAGTGTAACTCTATGACTACGTAAGCACTCAATGCACGGAAGCCACGTCTAAACTTCAGCGCTTTAGTGCCAGTAATAATGTGTTTACAACTCGACCACGCCATCCCATAATTACTATGCCAACTCATAATTTCAAGCAGAGTTTCTTCCAGGCATCTTTTCTAACGCCTCTCCCCCGCCTCGAAAACACACTTTTATTAGTGTCGTTTTCACCCCCCCCCCCCCCCCACCGGGAGAGAAAAAAATCTGGAAGAAACACAAATTTCAAGCCCAGATCTACACAAGCCAATGATCTTTGAATCACCACCTTACTCGGCTAGATACAAACCTAGCTCTCAACGCGTGATGCGTGGGTAAAAAGTAAAGGTAGTTGTCCTTTAATGTGACCTTCTGATCAGCACACACGGGCCGTGTGTTTCACGCGAACAACAACTCTAACCAAGTTGAAAATATTCAGAATTTCAAAACTCAGTTCTCGCCCGTTTTAAGATTTTTTTCTAAAATAAATACGTAAGTTTTTTGTTTTTTTTACTTTCTCGTATACGAAGTATTGAGGAAGTGTTGTAATCGTGCATAAAAAAATCGAGATTTTTTTCAAATCTCGACGTTTTACAATTCCCTGAGTCGGAAAACATAGTTTTGCATTATGTCCGTATGTCTGTGTGTGTGCGTGTGTGTGTATATATGAGTACCGTTTCATTTATAAGTATTATATCAAACGAGCCGGCCCGCGGCATAACATACGCCGCTATTTAGTTGTTTCTAATTTTCAATAATTCATAATTTGTGAATTCGACAGTACCAACGCTGACACTGAAAATATTTCTTTAAAACACTATAAGTAGCTCGTTAAGGACCATAACCCCCCCCTTCCTTCCCCCCCCTCCCCCCCCCCCCCTACGTTTAAAATCGTTGGCTCTGCTTGTAAACATTTAGAGTGAACACAGCTCACTAAAACCATGTAGGGGTGGGGAGGTAGGGAGAGCGTTTGCAGCTTGTTTTCTAACGGCTCGAAGAGGAGAATTATATATATAGATGCGTAGTTCTGTATCAACTTTTCAGGGATTTCCGATAACCGGAAGTATAACTTATTCTACTTTCAATTTTTCAAAAGCCTATAACTTAAGTACTGATTCAGATAGATACATTAAATTTCACATGTAAGTAAAAGATCTTATTCTCTGCCTTTTGTCAAATTTTGAGGCTCGTTAGCTGGGAACAGCCACTCTTCTAGGAGAGACAACTCCAAAATCAAACAACTGGCTCCTTGTAGTTTGTTCTTGGTTGGACAAAGACCATGGAAGCAAATCCAAAAAGAAAAGCAGGCTGAAATCGGAGTCAGTGGCCTCAATGGCGCATAACCAGTTGACACGTAACGCTTAATTGTGTTGGAGGCGTGGTCGAGTCGGCAAAAAGCTCATGGTTGATAAATTCGAACAAAGTCTCGAGTTCAAACCCACTGGCAGATAAATCTCGATCCCCTTCAACACTAATAATTAAGAACGAAGAAGAAGAAGAAGAGTCAAATTTTGAATATTTTTTTTCCGTTGACCGGAATTAGTAATTTACGGTATTTCCGATTTTTCAAACAACGCATGTGAATTTATACAGTACTTATAATATTCCGCACTATTATACACATATTGTTTGGCGTTCACTTGGTGCGCAATTCTTTTTTCTACAAGATTCTATTTTTAAAGAGTTTAAGTAATTTAAAAAGTATTAAAATAAACCGGGAGTGATCTCCCCTAAACTTTCTCGTATATTCTTATATAACACTACGGGGGATGGCAACTCGGATTATAGACAATATTTTTAATCAATTTTTAATTACTTAAACTTTTTATAATAGAATAGAATCTCGTAGACAAAAGAATTTCACACCAAGTGAACGCCAAATTAAATGTGTAGGATAGTGCGGAATATTATTAGTACTTTATAAATTTACATGCGTTTTTTGAGATATTTTACTTATTTGTGAAATTTCATTTATCTATCTGAAAGAATACGTAAGTTATAGGCTTTTAAAAAATTATAAGTAGAAAATGTTCCACTTCCGGTTATTGGAAGTGGCTGAAACGTTGATATGGATCTACGATTTTGATATAATACTTACATATGAAATTTCATCAACCTAGCTGTTACGGTACTTAAGTTATCGTGTTCACAGACACACATACACACACACATACACACACAGACATACGACAAGATTGCAAAATTATGTTTTTCCTACTCAGGGAGGTGTAAAACGTCGAGATTTGGAAAAATCTCGTTTTTTTTTGTTTTTTTTTTTGCAGGATTACAATACTTTCTCTATACTCTGTATAAGAGAAAGTAAATATTGTCTATATCTCGAGTTGCCACCCCCCAGCAAAGATATAACAATATTTGACAACGTTTAGGGAAGTTTACTCCCGGTTTATTTTTAAATATTTTAAATATTTAAATAAAGAGAAGGATGTTTAACAAAAAAAATTATTCGTTAAATAAAAGTCGTCATTTTATTTTCAAGCAAGACTTATTATGTCTTTTTTAAGAGTAAACACTCAATATCTAGTCTAACATATTCGTTTTCCCCCATGTTACATTTCCTTAGTTGAAGCACACTTTTACAAGATAAAACTATTATCTACGTCGTTGTTTTTTTTTTCAAAATTTATTAAAGACTTACTGAAAGAAGAATATAACCCCTGCACACAGATTTACAAATAGATAAGAAACAGAACGTAACCTTTTCTTTTAAAGCGTTACATTTCGTTAGCTCATGCGCAGTTAACTTTTTTTTGCTAGTGCTCAGTTCGTTTCTGTGTTTCCGGGGACGACTTTTAAATTTCATACGACGAGCGCTGTGCCGAGGAATGCAATTAAAATTGAAGTGCAGTCGCTTGCCCTATTTCATGTGATGATCGCTACTTAGGGCAGTGTTTCTCCTAGACATTTTTCACCGGGGGGGGGGGGGGGGGGGCGGACTAAAATTTTCCGAGGGGCGGACACTGTAAAAAGTATATATTTTCTATTTAAATTCGATTTCGTTCGGGGAGGGGGGGGGGGGTATACTTTTTTGGGAAGGCTCTCCCCCCCCCCCCCCACCCCCACCTCCCCGTAGAGATGCCTGGAAGAAACACTGGCTGCGTGTACACATGTAAAGGCATATACCTTATCATTGCTTGATGAAGGATTATGAAACTTTGATTTAACAAACGGCTTAAAGCTAAATAATAACAAACAGTTCAAAAATATTATAATTTTATATAATCTTTCTGCGTATACATTAAGGTAAATAAAAACATACGGAAGAGGAAACTACTAAACTAAACTCTGAAAGTATACCTGTAATTAAGGCAACAGTTTGCTTTTTAAAAACTAGGACCATCTTCTTGTCAGAATGTATACATTCAACATGGGTTACACAATGCAAGCGAAAGAGTCTAGTTCATAATTTTTTTGTATTTGTTGTAGAACCGAGTCGGTGGCATCACATAGCCCAGTGTAACTGAATGTGTTATCCACACCCACCCCCTCCACTTTTGTCAACATTTTTATATTTTCTGTTTGGTGTTACCCCTCTCATAATATTATTTTAGTATTTTAACATGATAAAAACTTGTTTTGACAGTAAATTGTACACATTTTCTGGGTTTTATCCGAAGCAGACCCCCCCCCCCCCATGACATTACTGAACATTATTAATCGCAGACTCTTCGTTTACAATTGGGGGGGGGAGAGTACATGCATAAATAAAAATGTTTAAGCCGTATAATTTCTAATTCTTTGATGTGTTTCCTTGAATTCCAAGACGTCCCAAAGATTTGGCCTGTGTGCTAAAATGAGAACCAATATTAAAGGGTTAACTCTTTCAATATGAGTGGAAATCTTACAAATATATGGAACTATAACAAATTTATTTAATTTTTTAAACCAGCAGTTAATTTCGATATATCAAGCTGCTAGCTCCTGACAGGCAGTATTTGGAAATTAATATAATAAAACGATATTTTTATTTAAAACTAGAATTGGTTATCTGGATATACGAAATCATCGATTATGACCACGTCCAGAGACATTAATTAGCATCATTTATTCATCCAGTGGATAAGGGTAGGGAGAGTTTTCACGTTCAGCGCGCTCAAATAAGGAATTCTCATCCCAGATCTCTATCGTTGCATACAGCCAAGCCTAATTTACAATAGATACAGTGTAAATGTAGTAACTTGCCTTTATGTGACGGGTGAACAAATCTCTTTGGTTAGCTGACAGTAGTATCCTTCAGGACAGAGCTTGTACTTTTTTTTTAATCTAATCTCAGTCGAACATCTGTCCCCTGGTCCTACATCTGTACAATTCCAAAATTGGAGGTCATGTATATATATATATATATATATATATATATATATATATATATATATATATATATATATATATATATATATATATATATATATATATATATATATAATAGTAACACAATATATCTCAGGAAAAAATATATTTGAAATATAATTTCAGTTTTTCAATAAAAGTAACATTTTATTTGTATAATGGTATAGTGTCGGCGATATGGGGGAAGTTGAGCACATTTTCATTGCGTGCAATCTTAACTAATAGCACCCATCAAACACAACAAAATGAAGCAGATCTTCCCTTACTTTTGATTGGCAGGCAAATATCACAGCAACCACAGCGGGACCCCTGGGGGACGTATTTCCCTTGGCAAGTTTTCTTGCTGACTCGAGGACAGTGGAAGCTGTTGCAGAATTTCGGCGGACAAATGAAGGCCTGGCTCAAACTTAAGACAACACCAGCCGCCAACAGAAAAGTCACTAACATCTTGCGTGTATCTGTGGCAGATATCGTAATACACAAGATTACACACGATTACAAAACTTGCTTTCTTTTTGACTCATGGAGAATTAAAACGTCAAGATTTTTTTTTTTAATCTCGAGTTTTATTTTATGCAAGAGAACATTTACTTCCCCATTACTCCGTATACAGAAAGAAAAATAAAACTTGTAACTTTTGTTTAGAGCCAGAGTTTCATGTGCAGAAAATATAATTGAGTCTGTTCACAAATAAAAATTAAAACTTTAACTGAAGTATACCTGAAAATTTTTATATTATTTTTTTGTTAGAAAAATTAATTCTCAGATACTCACTGATAAATCTACTGAACAAAAACGGTTAGATGCGTCTGTTTTTTGCACGTGTTTATAATTGTTGTTCTATTCTTTTATAGCTGTGGAAGTCAGTCTCTGTTTTGGGCTGCATGTATTGTTTACATTTAATTACCTCATGAGGTTTGATTGGCTCTCGCAATAAGGGTTCGAGGTGGATGGGGGTAGTGGATGCTGGGTATACTTGGGATAGCCACAATCTAGCAAAAAAAGTATTAGTATTATAAACATATTTACTTAGCCCACAACCTAAATCTGGACTCATTGGGATATAATCTCCCCAACCCTAAAATCAAACTCCAAAACAGCCTATGATGAAGGTATAGATATTTAAGTTACTTTCGTCATAATTTCTAACTGTGCAAACAAAAAGTTATACACTGTTATACACTGTAACATGCAAATGTAACATAATAAATATAGTACTCAGAGGTCTAGGAAAAGAATCCCCACTGGGCAGATGAAGTAGAGTTCATAAGTTTCTTGACCTCGGTATATGCAGGGAAGGTATGTGCAGCACTTAGCATAGCCGACGTAACATGAGTAACCCATCAGAGCTGTGTGGACACCGGGTCATACTACTTACTTGGATCGGGATTCAAACTCGAGACTTTGGAGTTTACAGCTTAGTTCTCTACCGCTAAGGACATGCCGTCATATGAGATGCGAATTTCTTTTATTTTTTAACTGACTCCTACAGATTTAAACATGTATCACTGCCTATGGGAGAGGGAGTGAGGTAAATTTCAATTACTTAATTAAGTTGTGTCTTGTGTTCACCAGTGTTTTAGTAAGGTGTGCTGTTTCTTCAAACCAAATGTGCTGCATACGTCTCAAATACTGTGCTCTACTGTGCTGTGTTGTACCGTGCCTCGCCGTACACAGTCCCATTCCGTACGTGACAGTACTGTGTATACCACATAGGAGCCGATCGTAGGGTGTGTACTTATAATGTATTTGAGTTGTATTTGTATACAATTATACTCTACAGAAACCAGTAATTGCTTACCATGCTTTCTAAATATTAACTGCAGTAAATTAATTAATTAATTAATTAATTAACCTGAACTCACCTGACAGCAAGGTCAATGTTGAGAGAAGCAAAGTTAATTAGCTGTTAATTAGTCTTGCGTTATGAGACTGAATTCTTCTTTAATATCATAAGCGTTGACAGACAAGAAAGGGTTAAAGAGTATGTTAAAGGACATCAAGTTACTTCTACTTGGCCTGAATAGAGAGTTAAAAAAAACTCTTTCATTCGTGAGTTTATTTGCTGCAATATAAACTGTATCAGTAATTCTCAAAAAACAAGGGAAATATTGTATTTACATTTAAAAACTGAAGAGTTTTCTATTACACTAAAGCAGAGCTGTGTAATATAATTGCATTTAATACAAGCAAATAACAAAATAATTACTATTTCATCATTATCAATCACTTGAAATTTAATCTTGATGTCGCAAGCGCCCATGTCCCTTTAACTGACGTCTACAATTTATGCGAGATAAGCTAATAACCCTATTCAGTAACATTGATTAAACTTATTGCTAATTTCTAACATATTTTCCCGTTCTGCTGTTGTGGTAATCATTTTTAACTGAAGATTTAATATATAATTTACTTTATAATTACAATTAGAAATAAAACGGGAGTGATCTCCCCTAAACTTTCTCGAATATTCTTATATAAAACAACAGGGGATGGGAACTCGGGCTATAGACATGATTTTTAATCCATTTTAAATACTTAAAGTTTTAAAAATAGAATAAAATCTCGTAGACAAAAGAATTGCAAACCAAGTGAACGCCAAATAAAAAAGTGCATAATAGTGCGCAATATTATTAGTACTTTAAAAATTTACATTAGTTTTTTGAGAAATCGGAAGTAGCGTAAATTACTACTTCCGGTCAATGGAAATTTCTCAAAATTTAACAGAAGGTAGAGAATTAGATATTTTACTTACATGTTAAATTTCATTTATCTATCTGAAATAGTACTCAAGTAATAGGCTTTTGAAAAATTCAAAGTAGAAAAAGTACCACTTCCGGTTATCGGAAATAGCTCAAAAGTTGATACGGATCTACGATTTTGATAAAATACTTATATATGAAATTTCATCAACCTAGCTGTAACGGTACTCAAGTTATCGTGTTTACACACGGACAGACAGACACACAGACATACGGTCAGAATTGCAAAGCCCAGTTTTTCTGACTGGATTACGCATAAAACCTCTTAATTTTGATAAATCTGGATTGATAATTTTTGCCCGATTAAAATAAGTCCTCTATACTTCGGATGTGATGAAGGACTGAGGTGTAATACGGTGAAAATTGTTAAAATTTCAAGTGATTTTTGTGCACGATTACAATACTTTCTCTATACTTCGTATATACGAGAAATAAAAACGACATTATTAAAGTTACAAGTTTAGACTATAAAAACAATAAATACCCTCATAAATTCTCTAGAAGACATTATTGTCATTAGAAAAATGTAGAGGATAAAAATTATACAATGTTAAACAAGGGGATTATTGTGTTTACATTCAAATACTGAAGAAAATGTTGAAAACAAACATGGGTTATCTTTCTTTAGATACAGCGTAATATAGTAGGAAAAGCTACCCATGTCTCTGCACGCTACCAATAAATGCTGGGTAGCGATGCGATCTGTGACAATCCTATAAAATATTAGATAGGCCTATAGGAGGGCCATATATATATATATATATATATATATATATATATATATATATATATATATATATATAAGTGTGTTTATATGAAAGACGTTTTAAATGGTTTAAACTAGCGCCAGAAGCCATTTAATTTGGGTTTCCATTGGAAGGGGTTAGGGTAGCGGAGGGATTTTAAAGCCCTATTACATGAAGACACATACCAGAGAGTACAAACCGTGAAAATGGTCCCCTGCCCCCCCCCCCCCCCCCCCCCCCCCCCGTAAGATTCTTACAAATGTTAAATTAAAAACTAAGAACAATAAAATTTATAATAATAAACTCAACTTTCGAAACTGTTTGTTTCACCATCACTAAATCTTTTTATAAATTATATATTTAGGTACGTTGATATTACATTAAAATGCGAATGTTTTTGGGGGAAATTTGACCAATTGTTTTGTGGAAATCTACTCTTTAGTTGTTTAAGTTTTTAGTTCAGTAGTTCTAAATTTAGTAATTTAAATGGCGGAATGACAACAAATTCGTTCCACTTTCTGTATTGAGTCTACTTACATGCCTTGAATTTTCGCTCGCCATGAATTTAAATAGTATAAGAATAATTAATCAAGAAAGTGTTGGTTGAAACTTGGCTGGAGTGCAGCCATGGACGACCCAGAAGTTACAATACAAGAGCAAATGTTCCACAATGCTGTCAGAGAACTGATAGTGAGTAAAAAAAAGTAAAACAAACAAAAAATGATTAAAATTTTAAAATGTTGAAAGATGGGACTGTGACTAATCTAGATCTAGATCTAGAAAATCTAGAGTCTAGCTACACCAGCTAGACATAGTCTTATATAAATCAAAAAGATATGTCACTTATATTGACTTAGAACAGGGGTCTCCAAACTTTTCAGTCCGAGGGCCGCATTAACTAAATACTATCAAATTTCAGTTCGTGGGCCAGTTTCTTCCAGGCATGTCTTTGATTTTTCTGGGCAAAGTTCCTCAGCCATCACCAACAAACGTTTTTTCCTTGGACAAAAAGATCTCCGCTGGCCGAATGAGAGGACTTCGCGGGCCGCATCCGGCCCGCGGGCCGTAGTTTGGAGACCCCTGACTTAGAATATGCAGAGTATTGAGAGTAATCACTCGTCTTTAAAAAACATTGTATTAGGCTAATGCAGTATTTTATGATTTGGGCTGTTGAGTTGACTGTGACTTATCAATTAGGCCTATTAATAATAATATTAATAGGCCTAAGCTCTTACTGCCTTCCTCCCTCCACCAGTGGCATACATTTTTTTTTTCATTTTAATTTTTAGAATCTACAACAATCTTGTACAATAGGGATGCCACTTTTCTGGGATAACCAGGGAATCCTGTTTTGAAAATCATGTCATATTTTTTCATTTTACTTATTTTTAGGTCTAAGGACAATAATTTGAGATTAAATTATATTAAGACTTCAGAGCATTTTACCACTAATGGCCCTTTCCACCATTCGTGCTTGAGTAGGTAGTACAATATCCAATTTAGGCGTCATCATTTATTGTGCAGCTATAAATGTTTTCTTACCTGACACTGATATTTGGTAAATATTAGTAAATAATCGGATAGGTAGGCCTTATAAAATTGAATTATTAAGGTACTCCACGGGTCCCAATATCGATATTTTTATGAATTATATCGTAGTTGGGTTTTTTGCAAATTCTATTAAAATAATATCTAATAAATCGTTTTCTGTTAATGTTGTCTTTAAAATAAAATTCTAAACTATTTAAAAATATTATTAAACTAGGGTGGGGTCCTTCAAAATTCTAGGAAAAAGCTGAAAATCGAGCTACTTTGTGCTTAGATACCCGATGTATAATACTAAACTACTACGCCATGTTTGGTATCAATCGAAAGCTTAGCCTCTCGCCCGGCCAAAGGTTACATGTTTAAAATTAACCTAAGAAGGACATGACCTCTATTAGCATACTAAAATTTGAATTAGACGTCTTTTGATTGGTCAGTAGGTTTGGTTTCGTTTTGGCTCGAACCTGATTGGTCCGCTTGTTTAAAATTTGACATTTTGTCATCAACCGAGACCCACCATGCATCGCTTCCGGCGACGCCTAGCCTGATAAACACGCAGCTAACTTTTGTTTGCTAATGCGATCACTGTACACATTCTTGAACTATTTCGCAAGTTTATTGTCATTTGGATATCAAAACCAGACTTAGGTAAGTTAAATTTATTTTAGAAATCTTATTTCAGTCCTAATTATGTTACGAATACGGCTAAAGCGTATTTAAAAAGACCGATCAGCGCAAATTAGATAATCTAGAAATAGATCTAGGCATAGACGCTAGATCTAGAACTAGAAGTCTAGAAAATCTAGATCTAGAAACTAACTAGATCTAATAGAGGCAATTTAGTTATTTAATCATTTATCTACTGTAGATATAATCATTGAAATTAATAATAAATATGCGTCATCTAGATCTAGAATCTAGTTTTTTTTTCTGATTTAGACAATAATACTAGATTCTAATACATTTCATAATATAAGATCTAGTCTAGTTAGTCTTACAATCTTACAAAGTACATACATTTAGCTTGTTTTTTTTTACAGATGGACCTACACGCACAGTACGCAGCTGACAGAAGATGCCAAACAAAAAAGAAATAGTATTTAGTTGTTGGACAAGACAACCTAAGTTTTTTGGATACCTAAAAATATACTTCTGGTAAGAATAAGGACTTTAGGCCTATACAATGAAAATTACAGACTGAACAGTAATAAAGTATTAGATTATATTGTTGATTAGAATTAGCAATAAGCAGCAGTAAGTGGTCCTAAAATTAAAAACATACAAGAATTTGATAATAACAGTATTGATTAGTAGTTATGGGTCAGTTTCTTCACGCATTTTAGGTTTCGGCAAATTAACATTTTTTTTTTCCGAATGCTATGCATTTGCTAACCTAAGTTTCATTTTATTCACATAATAACAGCTAGCAACAAGAGATGAGAACACCTGACAAGGGCCAAATCTGCAATGGAATATCTGATAGGTAAATTTTAGTTGTACAAATTTTCATGGATAGTAATTTGATATCGTCATTTACAGGACTGGTCAGGACGTTACCTTTCAATGGGAAAAAAAACAATAGTCAGAAGGGCTGCATCATAAAGGTTGCATGAGATAGGCAGTTGTTACTGTAAGGATTGTGAAGTTAATGATTTGGTACAAGGGAATTGTTAGTGATTGTGACGGTTTTAGGTTCATCAAATTGGCCGAAACGCCACTAACATTAGGTTTTCAAAATCTAAAAGTAAAATAAATTAAACTATTAACAAGAGAAGAATGAATTATGTTAATACAGGGAGGGGGATTAGATGTTACACAGTGAAAGAAGATGGTACACAATGTTGATTTTGAGGTTTTATGAATGTTAGGTAAATTTTCTTATATTTTTTTAAGGGGGGTGGGTCAGTTCAAAAGAACTTGGGTAAGGTAATAGCATTTTTTTTTCAGTGGGAGTGCTACTTTCATATGCCTATGTTGTATGTCTACATATAAACTCTGTCTAATAACTTATAATTAGGTCTAAATTTTTTTTTAATGATGTTCTGTGTTATTTTTGCATTTTTCTGAATTTGACGGTTTTAATTTTTTTCAGGCAGGACTTGGGCAATACAAGTAAAAGTTCTGCAACTAGAGGCTTCAAATTTGGCATACTGATTCAGTGTGGTCCTGTCTACATAATTACATGTTGAAATGTATTAGGGCTGTATATTAAGATTTTTATGGCTGTTTGTGTGCAGGAAACCCCCAAAAAATTGTAAAATTTGGGGGGTACCCTCATCTTTTTGTCAACTGTTGATTTTCCTTTACTCATAGGCCCATGAGCACATGTATTTATATTCAGTACATCATGTTCAATGTAATTACATAAATATATTGAGTTTTGTCAACTAAGTTTTGTGATATTGCATTTTTTGTGAATTTATAAATTTGTACCATAACGACCCAAAATCTTCAATAAAAGTCAGAAAAATTATTTTTTTCAAAAATAATACAGCTTTTTATATTTGTTATTTGGTTGTTGTTATTATACATTGCATGTTTTGAATTTAAATTTTAAAAAATGTTAAAATCAGTTTTCGGGTGTATGTATCGCCTTAAATACACTAATCTTTCTCTAATAGACAGCAATTTTTAGCAGGCTACCATTTTTTGGGACTTAACCAACATTTATAAATGCATCTCTAACCATTGTCTACCATCACACAGACATGTCAGTGGAGTCAACCTGTGATTGTTTTTTTCTAGGCCTATGTGACTGAACTTACCTTCACTTTGCCAAGTTGTCTAGAGTTAGAGAGGTTGAGAAAAATCTTAATAAATGTACTAAGTGCCTTGGATTGCACATTAATACAGTCTTGTTTAATATTTTTATCTCTTAACCCACTCATACTAAGGATTGTGTGATGGTGTGGTCAAATGGCACAGCATTTAGCTGCCAACCCAAAGACTTGAGTTCAGATGTTTGTATGGGCTGGGGAGTGTAAGATGTTCTGAGTCCACCTAGCTCTGATGGGTACCTGAAGTTACATTTGGGAAAGTAAAGGTGGCTGGACATAGTGCTAATCACACCCCCTTTCATATTCTGAGTCAACAAACATATGAACAGAACTCTATTTTAGTCGATCTCCTTACCAAAACCGGAAGTCAGAACCTGACCCTGAAACGTCATGCTCTTTTAGTTTTCGCATTTTAAGTGTTTTTGGGGGGGTCCTATATACAAAAAATGAAAAAACTGCTAATCTAGCAATATCTCATCACTATTTTAATGCGAAATGCTAAGGAAATGGATACTATGGCTTAAATGCCAGAAACATTTGCGAGATATGTAGTAATAATTAATACAAGCATTTCTTATGGAGCACTCTCATTAGGAACTGAACTGCAACGAAAAACGACCGACCACCGGGCATCAGCGCTCGACAGCTCCTATATAAATATATATTTGAGATATTTACCATGACTAATTACATTGATGATGGTTCCCCTTTCCAAAATCCAATTCACCATAGAAATACCATGCCTCTGCTATTTTTAGTAACGTTACATCATTGTTACGCTAGTTGTCAGATAGAAACAACTAATTTTTGTTTTTTGCGGAATGCACTGTTAAGTCTAGTATTTTAATTATAATTCAGTTGTAGCATGTGTAGAAATTGTGGACATTATTATTGTATTAAAGTATTAGTAATTTTATAAGTATATTGATTTTTTTTCTTCACTGCAAGCCAAGTAGGCCGACTGTACTGTTAGTTTTATTGAACATAATTCGTGACCGGTCGTTAACCTTGTAAATACTAGATCTAAATACTTCGTGGCCTACCCGACTGCATAATTTATATGAAATTATATGTAGTTTTTAATTAGGCCTTAGTATTGTATTTTAAACAATGCTCATTCCGAGCCTTTTTTGTGCTAAATCTAATTAGGCCTACTGGCAATTTTTTTATATTTTTAGACTTGGTCAACCTCGTTAATGCTGTTGTGTTAGTTAAACATATAGGAATTGTGTGTAAAATTTACGCAGTTACTCAGTTACTACGTAGTACGATATCAATAAATAATGTAGTATTTATTTCCTTTTAGCAATCTATTGATACAAAATGTCTAATATTTTATTTTCCAATACATCGTGGTGTGTGGCAGAGTAAACAGAACGGTGCGGTAGGTGACCTAGAATCTCCGAGTTCGAATCCGAAGTAAATCAGTTGTGCTTTATTTTATTGTTTCACATTGGAAATGCCACGAGCGGCTTTATTTTCTTTCTTTTTTAAAAATATTTTTTGATCGAAATAATATTTTATAAAATAATTATTCAAGATTTTCCAAACATCGTCGCTCGCATTGCTCGCGAGATCGACTGCTTACATTTTCTTTCTGCGGGAGAAAAATGTTGACACGGTCGAGGGTTCACCGTGAGTTCAGCAGGCCTACCATACATACGTCACAGCATTAACGATTGCTGTTAGAGATCGTCGGTGGGCAAACCCACCCCTCCCCTCATAAACCAAGCAAATTGTAAAACAACTTAGGGTCATTTTAAGTTCATGCAAACTTACAGGACTATAGATTTACTACGCATAGCTGGTAAAAAAAAAAAAAAAAAAAAACTTCGCCTAACCTAATGCTACTACAGAAGAGAAAAATAATTATAGAGTATTTATTTTAAAGTTTAAAAAAAAGTTGATTTATCATCTTACCTAATACTGTATTGTCTTTACAGTTAGAATGCCTAGATCTAGATTTCTGTCAGATCTATTTTTAGTTTTGGATATTTTATTATCATCTTCATGGGTATTGATTGTTCAATTCATCATGGAAGGCCTAATGTCTTAAATTGTACATTATACATAGAATTTAAAATAATTAGGCCTATGTCTGATATTTCTTTAATAAACATAATGAATATAAAGTTTTATTTCCAACAAAATGTTTTGGTTTTTTTTGGTAACTAAAATACCCAATGTTGTCGTAATTGCTATGACATCATGCTACGAATGGAAAACACAAACCAACGTAACTTTTTGAGCTTTTTTGATGGCGAAAAAGAGTTTCGCACTTTAAGAAGTTAATTGGTCATTTTGTTTTTGTTTGTTTTCTTGGCCCCTAATTAAGCTAGACCATTAAATTTGGTCTCAAATTAACCAGTAAGTGATGTAGTTTGTAATGATATATCATAAGTGACAGACAATTTTAATTAAAAAATTTAATAAGAAAACCTACTCTATTTCTCATCTTCTGACCACTGTATTGTTAGTTCTAAAGAGGAAAAGGGAACCTTTTTTTTTTAAAACTATTCCATCAAGCCTCATTCTAAATGTAGAATTCCTTTCTGTTTTCTTGTGTATAATAGAGGTGACATTTTTAGTTCTTTGAACTCTAATTCTTCTGTTTTTGCTTGCAAGCAGCAAGGTGATCATATCCCTAAAGCTATGATTTATAATTAGCTTACGATTTATAATTATCTTTACATTAAACATACTCAATTAGTAACTATTTATCATTAGAAAAAAAATGTATGATTTAAAGAACTAGTTGTGTCTTTTTGTTATAATATTTTTCCAGAGAAAATCAATTGGCTCATGACTTATGTAATATTTTATATATTTTATTGCTTATTCTTTCTAAACAAATTATTTTCAGATTTCGTTGTTACTGTTCATCTTGCTGTATGTCGTCTCTTATGTGACACTATGTCAATTCAGGAAAAGAGCAGACAACGAGGATATGTATGCTGGTAATTGGTTTTATTATGCTCTCCCTTTGGATTTTCACAATATAAGTTTTCTTAATGCTATAAAAAATAATTAGATTTCCAACCTGTAAACTATTTATTAAAATTTAAAAAGTAAAATAAATAACCTGCATATTAAAATTAGAATGTAATCAGTAATTGTGGATTACATTTTTTTTTAAATGTGTAAATATTACTTAAATTAATCAAACTACAATTTGATGATGATTGTTGTTTTAGGAGAGGAAGATGCAGCTGTGTACAGAATATCGTAAGTTCATTTACAAACTCTTAAACTATTCTATACATACTTAAGCATTTTAAGCCTGGACCGTAAAGGGTTAACATCAGGCAGAATGAGAATATGCGAGGTATCTGTTTGCAGGTTATGGTTGTGTACTGGAACCCTGTCAGTCTCTGTTGGTGCCGTCCTCCTACTGCCAATATCCATCATCAGCAACGAAGTCCTTCTCCTCTATCCTGACAGCTACTACATCAAATGGCTCAACTCTTCTCTCATTCAAGGTAATCATCATCTCTGTTCATTGTCAACATGATGTGTTTTAAATATAATAATATTCATAATTTATTTTATTTCATTTTCTATTCAGTCTACTGTAAAAAAAAATTATTTACTGTACATTCATATACCTTTTTAGATTTAGAAAGTGACATGTTTAAAATTTAAGTCCCAATTTTATTTACATAATAACCACAAAGTAAATGAAACAATACTTGTCAGTTGTTTTAAATTATTTTACATCAGAAGTTGTTTTTTTTTTAAATGTTTTATTGGATTTGTTTGCTTTTTTTCAGGTTTATGGAATCATGTATTTTTCTTCTCCAACCTGGCACTATTTATCTTAATGCCTTTTGCTTATTTTTTTACTGAGGCTGAAGGCTTTTCAGGTTCCAGAAAGGTAGCTGTTACTTGATTTTAGTAGTGCATACAAAACTAAATAAAGAAATCATAATAGCTTATCCATACACTGTGGTATGAACCTCCAACTTAAAAATCAAATGTTTACTTAATCATGTTTACTTTGTAAAATAAATCATTTGTATGTTTTTCATACATGGATTAAAGATCCTATAATTTTTTTCTTACTAAATCATAAATTATTTTAAATTGAATATATAAATATATATATCTCCAGGGATTAATGTCAAGGGTGAAAGAAGCATCACTTGTTCTCTTCTTATTGGGTATTTTGGTTCTGGGTTTAGCATATGTAGCATCAGCAATTATCAGTGGGGATGAGAAGACAAAGCAAACCTTGTCAGGTAAGCTTTTATCAACCCATACCAAAAATTATAATTCAGTTATATCATGATTTGTAGAACTTGTTACATGCATTGATACAGGTTGTGGTTTTCTAAATGCGGCACTGTTTAAATAACGCAATCTGTTATGGTGGATTGTTAACTAATTTGTTTTTATCTCTGTAGCTTTTTATTTACTATGATAACTCAACGACTTAAAGTTTGTAGAGTTATCCACTCTTAGATCATGCCCCACCACAAAGAATGTTGGATCCTATGCTCCAGTTGTAACTAAAAAATTTGGCTGAAGGGACTTATTATAACTAGAACATTATTTTTTATAATTTCTTTTCAGTTTAATTGGTTTTATGTTGTTAATTTATTTATAACTGTCATCTTTCTTCTGACTTAAACAGCTTTCTTAGGCTGCTATTTTTATTACTTTGTCGTCAACTATCGTGTCCATGCAGGTGATTGTGTGATATAGCTTTTTGGTTGTGATTTAGTTTGTATTGCTATCCTTAAGCCTCTAACTGTGTTTCTTTTTGTATTCCTATTCTCTAGCTACTAATTGTTGATTTGTTTGTATTCCTGTCCTCTAGCCTCTAACTGTTGATGTGTTTGCATTCCTGTCCTCTAGCCTCTAATTGTGATTTTGTTAGTATTCCAATTCTCTAGCTACTAGTTGTGATTCTGTATGTATTCCTGTTGTCTAACTTCTGGTTGTGCGTTAGGCTCTGACTACTATTAGTACCCTCTTCCAGTTTTGACATTTGTTTAAGGTTTTTGTATGTATTCCTATCATCTAGCTTGCATCCTTGAATTGAACAGTAGAAAATGTGTGGGTAGGATGTTAACATTTTTTTTTATAATTCCCCTATTTTTTTGTTTTGTTTTACATTTAAAATGAATATTTACAAAAAAAAACTGTTTTGTTTTCCTGTTAATTCTTCTTGTTAGAAAAATATGTAAGTACTGCAAACACTTCTGATAAATATATAAATATATTTTATTGTTGTGTGTGCTTTTATTTTACTAGCTTTTATGAAATTTTACTTCTCTCTACCATGCCCTACCCTTGTTTTAAGTGAATGATGAGTGAGGTCTTCTTTTGCTGTTTGCAGTTGTTTGCTAATTATGTGTGCATGTTTGATTTGTAGGCCGATTATAAATACTATGCTCACTTAATTTTATTTTAAAATATCATACTTTACTATATGTTATACGGTATTATAAAAATATATTATGATTCATTATCTGTTTTTAATGGTCATAACAGTTACTTAAAATTGGAAATTCTAATATTAAGCTTTAAAAACATTTTATTTGAAGCAACCAGTTATTGCTCTTTTTTTGTTCTCAAATTTGCTTAGCTTTAATTTATTTATTTTTGTTAAATCTTACAGGTTGCAGTTATTTATTTATTTTTTGTTCTTTTTAATACTAATTTCATCTTAATTTAGTCTTCTTGACATCTCAAGCAAGTGAAATGAGCATTAGCTGAACTCTAGGTGTTATGTGGGAAAAAGTGTTTTTGTAAATAACCTGGCCATACAATTTAACAAAAACATACTTTTGCACAGCGAGCCTTGTTAATCTTTTTAATGTAACTATTGTATCTTTGAGAAATCACAGAAGGGAGAAGAGTGCAGTGGCTTATCTTGTAGATAAGAATTGGAATATTTTATCTAAGTACGTTTTAAGTGTGCCTTACACAATGACATAGCTGATTTTTTAAAATTTAGTATAGTCAAAGAAAATTTAACATCTATGTGTCCTTTCAGTTCTATTACTACTCTGTCTGTCCTAGACCCAATGTTTTGTGTTACAGATCACCAAAGTATAGCAAATCACATTATGTTTATAACATTTTTATAATATATCTGACCTCTTCAATATCTGTATTTTTTTATATACCACAGTTCCTTAAGTTCTTTTTTTTTATTCACCTTCACATCTGTGTTGATCTGTGTTTTAAAACTAAAGAAAATTATTTTTCACATTGCCCAATACTAGATATCAGACCAAGTAGCTTGAAATGTATTATCCGCCCAATACTTTTGTACTTATAATAAAATACAACAAATTTCCAGTTATAACTTTAAAAATTCTTTTATTATTGATAGGTTCATGCATTTTCTAATTTCAAGAGCTTGCAATTTTTTTTTCACTGTTGCAATTGCTATGTAACCTTAATGACTTTTTATTTTTTATTTTACTGCTAATTAAACAATGTAAAACAACCCTTTTCTTTTCACCCCCCCCCCCCCCCCCCCCCCCCACCTATTTTATTTCTATAAAACCATAACACTTTTTTCAGTTTAGAAACTATTAGAAATAATTTGAAAAATGAAACAAATGTGTTAATTATTTTTCAGTATAATGTCTAATCATTTTGTATTTATTATTTTAAAAAAAACTAAACTTTGTTTATAAGCTTTCTAATGCTAGTCAAACAATACAATTGTTTGGCTAAATCCATCACCATCAACAGATTTTTGACTCTTGTGTTTTAAAAGTTTTTTTAATCGTTTCAGATGTGTGGCACGAACACTTACCCTACCTGTATTCCTGTATATCTTTCATTGGTGTTCTTGTTTTACTTAGTAAGTAGCCAAATTGTTTTTTAGAGTTAATGGTTTACTCATAGGGTAACCCAGGGGTAAACCACGATGGTTCATTTGTAGGTGACATAACACTCCTAAGGAAGTAAAAGTAAGTAAAGTTCCCTTTTCAAACCTGACGGTCTTTACCCAGCCGCCTTTACTTTCCCTAACATAAGTTAGGTACCCATCAAAGTTGGGTGGACTCACGGACGGTCTACTAACTTGAACCCAGATTCAAACTCGAGACTTATGAGTTAGCAGTCAAGCTCTCTACTGCTAGACCACTCCGTCCCTCTCCTAAGGAAGAGGAGCATTTTTTTTTGTAACCATATGTGATGGGAAAGGGTGGTGTAGAAAATCATCACGGCAAGCATTATAATTTGGTAAAGGATTATGTTCTTTTCCGGGTAGTTAGACTTAATAAAACAATAGTATGGGGAAAAAAAAATTAAGATAAATGTTTATGTTTTTCCATTGAAAATGTTTCAGTTGTGAACTAATTCATTTTTCTAGTCATAAGGATTTTCTAAAAACCTCTTAAAATGCCAAATTTGTAAAGGTGATATTTGTGCAATAAAATAATATAATTTAGTTCTTTTTTTTTTTTTGGTAAATCCATCAACATGAAATTAAAGTAATTATCTGCATAATAAATAATATTTCAACATTAATCTTTAACATTTACAGCTGTATGCTAAATCTGGCAATTATACAATTGTAGTTAAAAATTGGATATTTGTAAGCTTCTAAAAGTACTGTATTAAAGCCATCTTATCAATATTTCAGTGTGTACCCCTGTAGGTGTTGCTCGTATGTTTACAGTGATGGGACAACTTATAGTTAAACCTCAAGTTAGTAGATCCAAATATGAATTAGTAATTTACCTAAGTCACATAATAAAATGTTTTTCACCATTTTTCTTTTTGCATAATTTTTCTATTATTCTAAAAGGCTAACATTTGCATCCTTAATTTTTTAGAATAATTTTTTTTTTTCTGCAGTTTTTGCGAGGTATTGAAGATCAGTTGAGTACGTTAAGACTGGAGGAAGAAAATTTGCTCCGAAAAATTACATACAGAAATGGTAAGACAACTTTTTTCAAACATTCCCCATATTTTGTTATCTGATTACTGTGATCACTATGAAAGCACCAATATTTGTTAATAAAATTTTTACTGTATGAATACATCTGATTTGCTATCTGATTACTGCTTTAAGTATTTAAGTACTAAAGAATAAATTTTTAATTAATTTTGTCAATATATCTTTCTGTGAGAAAACACTAAAGAATGGTTTTTTTTTTGTTTTTTTTATCAGGACCGTGTCAAATATCCAATGGTCATGGTCATTCCAGTATAGAAACCCTTATTGAGACACTGGAAGACACAAGGGAAGCTATAAAAATGCTGGGTAATTTACCTTCCTTGGTTTGAAATTTATCTTATGTTGAATGAAATGTAAAAAATCTAATGAGACATTACAATCACCAGAGAGTCGCCAACACATCTCATTCTGGAGGAGAAATCTTTGTTACCCATTGGTCATGCTGTTATTACTAGCCATCACAGTAAGTCCAGAAGTCTCAGTTATAATACTTGCAAAATTCAGCGTTTTTTAAAAATAATGTTTATAAAAATAATGTTTAGAAATGTTTTTTATTTTTCAAAGTAAACTAAAGAATTTTTTTAAAAATTAATGTTTACATTGTCTTGTATATGGATATTATGTTTAGGGTGATAGAGTTTTAGATCTTCTATTGCACAGATGTAACTGTTTCACTTTTTTATAAAAATCTTTTTTTTATATATAAAATTAAAATTTACATCAGTTTCTTCACTGATGTAATTTTTTCAACAAAATTAGAAAGCTTTTCTGCTGATTCGTTTTATTTTGCCATAAATAAAAAAGCTAATTTCTATAAAGGGCTTTTTAATGTAGGTAACATAAATGTAGCGAGACCTGGCCATTTCAATCAACCTCTGCCTACCGCAAACCATCCCTCACCCACATCCCATGATGCAGTCAACAGTAATGCAGACGATGCGCCTGGTTTTTTACTGCGCAAAAGCAGTGGTGTCCTGGCGGTCTCAATTCTACCAGCCCTTTTATTTTAGTATTAGTTAAACATGCTTATTTTTATTTGATTTAACGTCTTTTAAGTTTGAAGCATGTATGAAAACGGTTAAAAAGAATTATTAAGTGATTCATAAATTAAAGGCTCCAGGCCTAGTATTATTTGCTTACTAAATTCATCGGTGCCCAATTTTTAAAAATTTACATTGCAATTTTTATAAAGTGCCATTGAAATGTTTTAGAAACTTAAGAAAATTCTTACCTCTGTTCCAGCTTGAAATAATAATTTCCGCTGTTTTCTTACGGTTGCAGTTACATCTCTGCTATACTCATCAGATTTAGTTGATATATTTTAAAAATTTGTTATTTTTCAGGTATTCAGTATTCTCATTGTCCTACAGAACACATTTTTATTACTAGTTGGGACTAAGTCTTTGCCTAGAGGTGCTTCAGTATGTATACAATTTACCATATTTACCATGGTTTATGTTTCAACTTTTTATAAATTTAACATTGTTAGTTTAATCAGCCTTTGCCAACAGATTTAAATTAGGGTCTTCTGTCCTATTCTACTTTAATGATATTTTATAAGAATTTCTCCATGTAATTTGCTTTTTTTTAACCTTCACTATATTTCATGAGTGTAATCCTCCCAATTTCATTCCGGGGTATTGGGTCATCATATATGCCTCATGTACACAGTTTACTTTAAGGGCACGAAAAATGCATTATGTGGCTCATGTATTATTAGTTACGTGTTTTTAAAGAAGTTTTAAGAAGAACAAAAATGTTATGTTAAATTTTTTTAACCCCTTGCTTCTTTTTACCCTCGCATTACTCATCACAGAAATTGGTAAAAACCCTCCCCTCTCTCAATGTAAAACCATGATGCAATCTAATATGATGTAATAGTAGTATTGCTATTATACTACTGTAATAGACATATTTAGCTATTCACAACCACACATTTTATATTTCTTTAGTATATGCCTCCATCAATTTTCTTTATATAAATATATTTGATGGATTCCACCCACAAAGTATGGCAAGGCTGGTAAATAATGATGTACAGTTAGGGTTAACTTTTTTTTATAAAGCGTATAAGAATTATATAAAGCTCAAGTCATTTTCTTTTTATTTATTCTTTAAAAAGTACTAGGACGTTGGCCTGTTGTGTCATTTTACACTGCACAACTTCAACTTCACTCTACCTTCATCCTATGATGAAATGGCCTCCATCATTATTGTCGACATGAAGAAAAATCAAGTTTTTCCCTATTTAACTTTCATAGTGGCCATGAAAGAAAGAAATTTAAAAAAAAATAAAGTCTGAAAAAATACAGATATTTAATATTTCAAAAATCGATGTTATAAAAGTTGTAAATGTAGAGGGACTTGAAAATAATTTTTTGCCTTTAATGCTACATTTCTACATTATAATTATTTTAATCGAGCTGAATTATAACCTGCAGTTTCACTTTTATATGACGGACATTAATTGACTGTACAGAAACTTTACGATCAATCTTCTGAAAATAGCAACTAGTAGTCATTTGTATTAAAAAAAACTTTGCCGATAAAATTTTAAAACAAAATAATACTTTTGTAAACCACATGGCCTAGTTATGCCATGTTTATTTACATTTCCAGTTTCGTTAAGTTACCAAAAATACTAAAATCATCAAATAACCCCATCTTAAGTTTAAAAAAATATTTTATAACCACATTTATTGTAATGAAAAGAATACTTAATGAACTGCTTTTGACTATTTTCATTCATTGTCCATTAATGTTTCATTCTATATGAGTAAAAATAACTTTTTAACACTATTATTTTAAAATTTTATTAGTTTGAACAATCAAAAACATGATAATTATTTTTTTGTACTTACGCATCTTTAAATCTTAAATATTTGCCCAACTTAATTACACAGGCAGGGTGAGATATTTTGTGTCTCATTATATCTCAGCTTTCAGCTATTATATAGAAATCTGCTTTTTTTCACCAATGCATTTTTAGCCTAATGAAGTTTTCCATAAAAAAAAAAATCCAAACACTTTAACTGCTGATCATTTCTCATGCATTCTCCTATTTATTTAGTCTAAAATTAAAGTGGGAAAGATTTATTCATTTCAAGGACTGTTTTATGTATGAAAAATAAATGTGCCGAGACTTGCGCAGTTGTCATTATATTTTACTCAAATTTGTTGACACTTTTGGTGACAAATGTTAGAGGATTATCCATAACATAGCGCCCATCACTGTTTCTCACTGTCACACTGATGGTTAGACCTACAACGTGCCCAGCTTGTGTGATTACAAGAGCATCGTCATGTTCAGGCTGTCTCAGTTTTTACAGCGCTGTTAATTAAAATATATAATTTTAAAGTGGTGATTTTAGTTGATTTATAAACCCAACATTTAATTTAAATATATAATTTTAAAGTGGTGATTTTAGTTGATTTATAAACCCTACATTTAATTTAAATATTTAATTTTAAAGTGGTGATTTTAGTTGATTTATTAACCCTACATTTAATTTAAATATATATTTTAAAGTCGTGATTTTAGTTGATTTATAAACCCTACATTTCCTTAGGTTTCACAAGTTCGGAGGCGCGTATGACAAAAGGGAGTTATTAAATAATTTATGTAGCATGAGATAAAGTAAAAGACTGCATACCTACTCTAATTTGGTCCCTGCAAATTATCAGGGGCCCATTATTCTTAAGTTTACATTTCAGGGTTTTTTTTATTCCTTAAAATCACCTTTGAAATATTTTATAATAGACGATTAAATTAATTAATATTTCTTTAACTCATTCCTCACCACTTTTCAACATTAGTTACATTTAGTCTTGGCCGTTATTTTGGGAATTGACTTCGCGTATTTTTCAAATATTAAATTTATTTTACCATACATAAAGTACTAAAAATTATTTCTTCTAATTCAGTAAAAATTCATTACACTACTATGCATTCTTTTTGGGTTTTTTTTTGTTTGATTTTTCATGCAAAAAAATACTTTAATTATTTTTTTTTTAAATTTAATTAAGAACAGATGATACTTTTGGTAATAACTTTTTCTTTTACAGGACACAGTGCTTGGAATATCATCATTATCTTCATTTGGTTCAATAGGGGCAGCCCTGCAAATTGTTGTGATATTGTATCCTTATTTTTAATTGCAGTTTCCCTTCACCTTAATGTTTATCATCTATTTCATCAGAATATCTATTTATCTTTACTTCTAAAACTCACAGGTTTGTGTATGCATATAGATGGGTAATAAAAAATTATATACAAACACCCACAAACACCAGATTTAAGATTATTGTTATTCAAGAAAGGCATGCACACACACAAATATACAGCCTACATTGATAAATACTCTGAAAAGAGATGCATCAACTGGGAATTCCAAATTACTTCGACACAAATATAAAATCAATTTTAACAATAAAAAAACATTTCAATATTGGACCAAGTGTGTGTGCGTGTATAAGAGATGATTAATGTGTGGGTGTAAGGGGTGATTAGTGTGTGCGTCAGGGAGATATTAATAAGTGTTGACAGCAGGTGGGGCTATTGTTGTGATTTGGACAAATGTGTTAGACATAGGACATGAGAGGTGTGGGCTGAGGACCAAGTTGGCTAGGCAGGGGTATGGGGGGGGGGGTGGTAATCTTTCTGGCTTTGTGGAATACTTTATACAATTTTATATATAAAAATATATCTTTAGAAATATATATATCTATATATATATAAAGCAATGTATGTTTGTTTCATTGTCTGTTTGTCTTTTATGCATTACTACACCTTCCGTCCTATCACCATGAAACTTTATGAATATGAAGTTGTTGAGAATACTCCTTGCGAGGTTTCTGCGAAAAAAATAATTTCAAATTCGCAGGGGTGGTGCCCCGGGCAGGGTGTGCTTTGAGAAGGATTCTTGGGGAAAAAAATCAATTTTGCATAGGCATGCCCCGGCAGGGTGCGATTTGATGCCCCGGTCTTTCTCGTGAGCGCTATAGTGCCTACGTTCGTTCTAAACAGTGAGATAGATTATGGATAAGATGGGGCGTTGAAGTAATTCACTAATTGAATCAGGTGCGTTTGCCGGCGCCTAGGCAAGGTGCAATTTGGAGCCCCACACTATCCAATGAGCGATATGGCACCTCAGTTAGTTTTAAGCAGTGCAAAAGATTATGCATAATATTAGGTTTAAGAGTATTTCGGCACACCGGTATGGTGCGATTTGGCACCTGGGGCCTACGTTTAAGGAGCACCCTACAATACTGACAATGCTGCACACAACATTTGATGGTTAAACAGAGCCAGCACGCCCATGTAATCGGGTGCCCCTGAGAGCGCCCTGACACCTGGGCCGTCACCGAAGTGTGTTCTACCTCACTATTAGGGTGAGTGATTAACGTACACTCATGGCTTTCATTCTGTAATGTAGGTAAACCCGTGCCCCAATAAATATGATCCAAGCGCAGACATTGTTTACATATATATATAACTCAGATTTAGAAAACAAGGTCACACGTTTAAGAATATAGGATTGGTGAAACCCCTCTTATATATTTCATCAGACTTTCTTCTATCCCTGCGGAGACGGCCAAGCATATATATATGCATATATATATATATATATATATATATATATATATATATATATATATATATATAAAATACAAAACTCTGCATATTTTATTGCAAACCTAATGTACATAAATTGTTTCTGTTTTTAGTAAACAGGAAATATTATTCCTGAGCTACAAAAACTGAGCATAAATGAAATGGTTCTGTAATTAGTAAATTGTAAACGTTTTCCTGAACTGCATTAGATATCTAATGGTAGCTTCAGTGGTTGGCTTCTACAGCCTGCCTTACTTACGTAATCTCCAGCCCAGGAGAGGTGATACAGCCATGGTGAAGATCATAATGAACTGTGTTGTTCTGCTTCTGCTCAGCTCAGCCCTGCCTATCTTGTCCAAAACATTAGGTAAGTGTCACACCTACTACGACAGAAGTTTAATTATATTTATTGTAGTTTTTATGAAGCCACAATTAGAAATAGATCTCAGGCAAAATGTAAGCCTTATACTGTGTTTACACTAGCAACATGTATACTAAACATGGCTTGAAAAAAGAATTTGCTGCAAGTTAGTGTACATGTCATGCTCTGTGGGAAAAAAAAATTCTTGTAACATTAGCGTGCAAGTTAACACCATGGCATAATGAAATAATATTTTTTTTAATAGGAGAAGCTCTAGAAAATTAATGGAAAAAAAATATTTTTAATTAAAAAACATTATTTTCACTTTTACAATGAAGTCGTCATTTGGAAAACATGCTGGAATACGAATATAGATAAGTTTTTAAATTTAAACAATATGTATTATGAATATGCAGATGAAACTATAAATAGTTATAAAAGAATTTTGAAATATACTGTCAACAATTAGCTCCTAAAATGAAAAATGTACAAATTGAAAATGACCTGTCTCTTTATAATTTGGAAGCTAGATTTTTCCAAGTTCCTTTACAACATCTGATAGTTTGTAGGAACTTGGCAAATCTTCTAACTTAACTATGACCAACTTCTAATGTAGTGATTTCATTCACATGGAAAAAAAAAACACCTTAATATTGGTGGAAAATAAAGAGGAAGATAGTCTTGTTGAACCCAACATCCTGTCTTGCAGCTGTCTTAATGAACCCAACATGTTGTTTTAATGAACCCAACATGTTGTTTTAATGAACCCAACACCTTGTCTTAATGAACCCAACATATTGTTTTAATAAACCCAACACCTTGTCGTGCTGTTGTCTTATTGAACCCAACATGTTGTCTAAATGAACCCCACACCTTGTCTTGCTATTGTCTAAATGAACCCAACATGTTGTCTTAATGAACCCAACATGTTGTCTTAATGAACCCAACACCTTGTCTTGCTATTGTCTTAATGAACCCAACATGTTGTCTTAATGAACCCAACATGTTGTCTTAATGAACCCAACATGTTGTCTTAATGAACCCAACATGTTGTCTTAAAGAACCCAACATGTTATCTTAAAGAACCCCATGTTGTCTTAATGAACCCCAACACCTTGTCTTGCTGTTGTCTATATGAACCTAACATGTTGTCTTAATGAACCCAACATGTTGTCTTAATGAACCCAACATGTTGTCTTAAAGAACCCAACATGTTGTCTTAATGAACCCCAACACCTTGTCTTGCTATTGTCTTAATGAACCCAACATGTTGTCTTAATGAACCCAACACCTTGTCTTGCTGTTGCCTTAATGAACCCAACACCTTGTCTTGCTATTGTCTTAATGAACCCAACATGTTGTCTTAATGAACCCAACATGTTGTCTTAATGAACCCAACATGTTGTCTTAATGAACCCCAACACCTTGTCTTGCTATTGTCTTAATGAACCCAACATGTTGTCTTAAAGAACCCAACACCTTGTCTTGCTGTTGTCTATATGAACCTAACATGTTGTCTTAATGAACCCAACATGTTGTCTTAATGAACCCAACATGTTGTCTTAAAGAACCCCAACACCTTGTCTTGCTGTTGTCTATATGAACCTAACATGTTGTCTTAATGAACCCAACATGTTGTCTTAATGAACCCAACATGTTGTCTTAATGAACCCAACATGTTGTCTTAATGAACCCAACATGTTGTCTTAATGAACCCAACATGTTGTCTTAATGAACCCAACATGTTGTCTTAATGAACCCAACATGTTGTCTTAATTAACCCAACATGTTGTTTTACTGAACCCAACACCTTGTCTTGCTGTTGTCTTAATGAACCCAACATGTTGTCTTAATGAACCCCCACACCTTGTCTTTCAGGTATAACCAACTTTGACCTGGTGGGTAACTTTGGCAGCATGGACTGGCTGGGGAACTTCTACATCATCTTCCTGTACAACATCCTCTTTGCCGTGTCCACAGCCCTCTGCCTCTTCACCAAATTCACCGGGGCAGTCAGGCGGGAGATCTATGACCGCCTGAAAGCCGCAGTCCAAGGTGGGAAAAAAGTTTCTGCGATGTCCCACGGAGTTGGCAGTGCCGCCAATTTGACAAACGGCAAGACGGAGAGCATGAAGGAGGAGTAGCTTGCACGACCCTGTCTTTCAAGTGTAAATCTTAAATCACATGTACTATAACACCGGATTGGACTTTGTATATTTGTGCCTAAGGAGTCAAGGGGGGAAGGTAATTTATTGTTTTCATATTGAACACAGAAACAAAGGATTCTCATAGTTACTGGGTAATTGGTTTCGTGAACTTGGTTTTATTTCAAACACTGTCCTAGTAATCCACCAATTAATGTTGAGTTTGGCATCACCTTAAAAATAGTAGTGCAATGCTATATTTGTTTTGTATTATTCTGCAATATTATTTTTTTAAACTTTTTTTTTAAGACGACTCTTCATTTGACACTTACATGACACTTTTTATAAGTGCTTTGTGTACCAAATCACGAGCTTGATTGGAAGTTATTTTTTTTTTGCCCATGCACTTGCATTAACAGATCCTGCCTGAAGTTGCTTCTCCCAAATTACAGTGTCATTTACTTTACAAAAAAGTCTGAGATTATGAAAGCTATTGTATGCCTATGTAAATTTAATGTAATGTTTATTGTTATCCATTTGATGTTGTTCTAATGTAGAAACAAAATATTAAAAGTATCTTTTTCTTTAATTGTGTATCATTTAGTAGTTTTTATAGACTATTCACTTGGATGAAAAATTAACCTATAAAAGTTATGATTCTTATGTTATTTTTTAATTATAAGAGATAGTTTTTATTATTCCTGTTTTATTTTTTATTTTTCTGTGTTGGTGTTTATTTGCAAATGGAAGCTACATTTTTTTTTTAAAAATGGTTTTATTTAATTATATCAGTAGGCCTATTGTTCTATTTTTAGTTGAGTTTTAGGTGAAGAATTCTAATACATTGGTTTTATTTTGATTCGTTTCTTTTCGTACTTAATTAGCTTGTTTGAGTTACATATCCTTAGTAAGCTTTGCTTGACAACTTACATTTTAGTCTTGTTTTAATTTGACACATCTACAACTAAGTTTTCTTTCTTTTGGATTGCAAATCTTCTATAGATATAGGCTAGGGTAGTTTGTTTAAATTTTAAAAAACCAAAGTATTTTAGTATATTGCCATATTTTTTAATCTTCTAAACTTTAGTGCGCACATTTTACAACTTGTCTGTTGTAAAAAAAAAATAGCTGTTTATAAACTTGAAGTACAAAAAATTTCTTAGAAAAGTTTAATCATTTTTTTTTGTAGAAAAAAAATCGACAACAGGGTGCTGGAACTAGTTTTGTGCTTTGTTTCTTATAGTTTATCTTTTGCTGTGGAAATGAATGTTAATTTACACTTACTTTGCAATGCAAACTCTAATGTGTTTACTTTTATCTAGTCTTTTTGTAAAAAAATAATATTTTTTTTTACTATAAATCCTAGTTACTTGTAACTGGGGCAGAATTTTTTTTCTGTTACTTTCAAAGCTTGATGGGTATCCAATTATGTGAGATGATTGTTTTTTATGTTTAAAAGCATCTGGATGCTCAGCTGCTGTTTGCCTGGTTCCAACTCCTTGTAACTTCACAGACTGCTTAAAGATTTGTTTCTTTTATTTTGGTGCCAAAATGTTTCTTTCAACCTGTTTAAGTTAAAACTCATGTTTCAAGTGGGACCCATTTACTTAAGTACCTGTGCAACCATCACCGTGAAGGTGCAATAGTCCTGAAATATGATTGTCAATGCATGCATTTGTTTCTTTCATCACAAGCTTTAAACTGAGTACTTTGTTCAGTTTTTTATATTACCAGACTGTTGCAGAAATGCATTCCATGTAAATATGTACAATAGATATTTTCTGTGTTAAAAAATGACTTAAACTATGAACAAAATCCATCAGTCCGTATTCATACTGGGTTTTTGTATACCGGCTCACACCTTGGTAATCCATTAATTTTTGCAAATTAGTAATATATAGACAACAATTATGCATTTCACTTTGTTTTCTTGTGAAAAATACTTAAGAAATTATGAAGCAATAGTTTGTTTTCATAACTTTCTTTCATTGTCATTTGGATATGTGTCTGGTAAACTGTGTGAGGTCTAGTTGTTTATTTCTTTTCCAATTTTATGATTTAATATTCTATCCCCCAGTTAGTCATCTAGAGTTATTTCCCATTTACAGTATATTTAGAGTTGTCCCCTTGCTCTTACTTCTGCTACTGCCACAGTGAATGTGCCTTAGACTTGATTTAGTAATCTAGTATTATGCTTGATGTCATGGTAAAGTATGCACATGAACCATAACCATATCTTTAGTGTGTAACTCTTAATCATCAGCCCTGAAGGTCAACTGTCCCCTTCTTCACATTATCAGTACATCAAGCTGCTCAAATGCTTTAGTAATGCTCAATTTAAAAATCAGGCCTATGGCGGCTGTATTTTTATTAATAGAATAACTTTATACCTATACTTTATATTTTGAGACGTCTTGATTAACTATAAAAGAGAGATGTTTTAGAAATAATAGCTTTAGACAGCTCATTAGTTATGGTATAGGATGCATATTTTTTCTTACACAACATAAAATGTTTTTATTCTAGATTGTTTATATTTGTAGTGTGAAGGGGTTAAAAAGTTCTGTAAATTATTTTTTTTAATCTGGTCTAAATTTTGAATGACTGTGTTTTTCCCGTTGAGATTATTCTTTCCTTTGATAGAAATTTTGAATTCTCATCCCTGCTGCTTGATTATAATTCATAACTCTCAAGTATTAACTTATGTACACCTGTATAAACAATATTTTTTAGAGAAATAATAACTTATTTTGTTTTGTAATAAGCTTTGTAAGCTCCAGCTTTTTTATTAACATGATTATGGGTTGTGCTAAAAATGTAGAAATAACAAATAATAATTTGATGTATAGAATCTGTACATAGTTTACATAAATAAAACAGCTATGTATTTATATATTTTTTAAAAAATCATTTTGAAATAACGTCAACAAAATAAGTAAAGATAACTGTAGTTTGAACAGTGGGGCAAATTTTAAGAATTTATATTTGAATTTAATGCTTCTGCTATGACAGTATTACTGTTTACACATGTATTTTTATAAACATGTTTAAATGTCGGGGTTGTTGTTTTTATTAATATTATCATTTATCAATGAGATATTATCAATTCTGATCCTTCACCAAATAAACAAATGGCAATGTTGACAATGGAGTGCTCATTAGGTGTGAATATGATATGTAAATAAAATGTTTATAAATTTG